AAGTTATAAAGTCCGAACTAGGAGATATAAACTTGCATTTGCGAGAAAAAAAGTTGTCGTCTACTCCAAAATTGGTCTGCACATTGTAATGTTTCCCATACATTGACTTATTTGTGGCGGCCCGCCACAATATCAAAACTAACCACCACAAATAGATTTTCCAAAACGATTTGACTTTGTTGAATAAACTTGAGCACTGCACGTTTCAAAATCAAAACGCGTCGCGGGTGTTTTATATGAATGTATCTCTGAAGGGAACCGACTGTCTTCAGAAAAGCTTAAATGTCATTTTCATTTCATCTTTCTAATGATGCCTGATAAAGTAGTGTTTTTGAGCGCCGCACTGCTTTGATTGCAGGCATTACCGGGGAAACGTCTAGTTCTGTCGCTTCAAAAGTGCCTCCTGCTGGCAGAGAATGAATTTGCATTTTCAATAAGCATGTCTGCTGTTTTAGTTCAGACCAACGCAAAAATGTTTTTATGCAGCAAACACTTAGAGCAGAATTGTAAATGTGAAACAGTATATATATATATATATTTCCCCTGGGGGAAGTGCTGCCCCCACTGCTATGTACAGTACTAACAGTGGCAATTGTAAGCAAATGCAACCTCTTGAACACACATCTGACACATAACATGGGCCTTCACTGTTCCCTCTCTCTACAACTGCACTTATGGCAATTGTAGAAAGCGAGATGACACAAGTGGTTTCCTTTATGTTTAGTCTCTGGTCGTTAGTTAACTTGTTCCCCAATTTCTGATTAGATGAGCATGCATAAGAAATCTTTAGACTCGTAACCAAACCGTAATCCATAAAAGACAACAGTTTATTTAACCTTAACTAGGGCTGGACAATAATTCAATATCAATATGTATCGCGATATAATTTTTTTCAATAACGGTGATATGATTTTTAAACACATTTACGATATTTCGATATACATTACCAGTGTTTCCCATACATTGATTTATTTGTGCCGTTTGACTTAATATACATGACCGAATAAACATGAGCACTGCACGTTTCAAAATCAAAACGCGTCGCG